TCGTCAAAAAAAGATTCAAAACTATTCATGTCAGCTCGTTTTTTCTCCAGACGGAAGAAATAGCGTGTTGGCTTCTCACCTTCTTCGAACCATTGTGCTCGGGAGCGGACTTTAGCTCCTTCGGCTTCTTTCGAGATCAGAGAGGACAATTGGCTTTCCAAATCGCTAATTACACCTGGGTTATTTAAGCGATTAGAATGTAAAGCGTTTTTAGCATGGGTTAATTGCTTAGTAATTAGGATTCTTTTGGCATTTGCTGTTCTCTGTTTACGGATACAGTATGAAATACTTGTTTTGCGGATTTCAATTTTTAGAGCATCCCACCATTCGCGAAGGGAGGCGAATTCGGGGATTTTAAGCTTAAAGTTGTTAATCGATTTTGACATAATGTTTTTAAATTCTACATCTGAGAGTAAAGAGCTGTTGAACTTCCAAATTCCAGGACCGTGATTAGAAGGGTTAGTCGTTAGTTCAATTTTTACAAAGTCATGATCGGATAGGTCGTATACGCATGGAAGAATATTACATTTCGTTACTAGGGTTAAGCCTTTAGCGACGAGAAAGCGGTCAATTCTAGATGCCTGGGTATGGTCTTTATTAGACCAGGTGAAAGTTACTTTGCGCGGGTTGTTTTTGCGCCAAATGTCTGTAAGTGAGAAGTCAGCACAAAGGGATCGGAGAAGTTTTTGATCAGACAATAGGATGGCGGAACAATTTAATTTATCTAGGACATTGTCCACACAATTAAAGTCTCCCCCGATCACTAGGTCCCCTTGGGGGAGAAAGTAATTGTGCAGACAAGAGAAAAAACTTTTACGATCCGAAATAGTATTGGGAGAGTAAATGTTCACTAAATTTAGTTTAGAATTATAGTAGTCAATGAGTAAGCTCAATATTCTTCCTTCGGAATCGGTCAAAAAACGGATAATTTTGCCTGGAAAGTTTAGAGAAAAGAGGATGGCAACACCGGCAGACCTGCCAGTCCCGAAGGACCACAGACATTTGCCGCGCCAGAGTATTTCGAATTCCTCCGCTTGTTTTTTGCATGAGACATGTGTTTCTTGTAAAAGGATTATGTCACAGTTTGAATAATTTAATTCTTGAATAATTTTTCGACTTTTACTGGAGGACCCGAGTCCTCGCACATTTAGAGAAATTATTTTAAGCTTACTCATTGAATATAAATAAAAAATTAATATCTGTACCGCCTTCTCCTAGGTTTAACTCTCTCCCATCCATCATCATCAGTTTCGGAGCCAGAGTAGTCACGGCGGGAAGATCTATCGCGGCCATCGTGGCCGCGATAATAATCTCGATCGCTTCTATCTCTCTCTCTTCTGCCGTCTCTCCGGTCATCTCTTCGTTCTTCTCGATCGTCCCTCCCTCGCTCGTCTCTTCGTTCTCTTGGTCGTTCTCTTCTACCTTCGTCGCGTTGTTGTTCTCGTTGTTTCTCTTGATCTTGTTGTTTCTGTTGTTCTTGCTGTTCCTGCTTTTCTAGTAATTTCTGTTGTTCTTCTTGTTGTCGCTGTTGTTCTCTCTGTTGTTGTAGTTTTTTCTGCCTTTCTTCTCTTTCCTTGGCGCGCTGGGCTCGCTCTTGTTCCTTTTCCTTTTCAGTTTTAGGTGGCGTTGGCTCACTATCGACGTTCGCGCTGAAGAGCAGGAAGGGGCATTGAGGCATGGAATGGTTGTCCGCTAAACAAACGGAACATCTTGGCGAGTCTTTACATTCTTGAGCTCGATGCCCAGGGCATTCACAATTAAAACAACGGACTGCGGAGCAGTCTTTGGCCATGTGGTCAGTAGCTCCACAATTCCGGCAAGCTTTTGGCTGATTTGGGTACCATATTTTGATAGGTTCACCAGCTATGTTGATGTTGGCAGGGATAGTTCGATGTAGCGCCATTCGAGCCGTTCTTACTCCATTCTCGATATGTTGTGCAATTTTGTCGCGCCGAAATGAAAGGACACGACCGTAGTGGCTGAGTCGGCCAATCACGGCAGTGTCGGGTAGTTCAGCGGGGGCTTCATGGATCTTGACGAGGACCAAACGATTTTCGCAGTCGCCCAGGAACACTTTGAGACCGGCAATCACGACGAAAGGTGTTTCAAGAGCGGCTTCTTTAGCTGCACGGCTCTTAAAAGTCACGATCCAAGATCTATTGGACGCCTTTCTCTGGATTCCGGTGATAGCGTCAATATCGATTTCTGCCGCGTCAAAAGCTTCGAGAATTATTTGCGATGTGACGGTTGTATCAACGCTAAAATAAATAGAGCGATCCTTCGTGATTCTACTTTGACTGGGAGCATTCAAAAAAGGCACGGCCTGAAATTTCACACCCTTATTTTCCAGATTTTTTAGTACCTCAGGGATTTCGATTTCCACGTCTGCGCCCCAGGACTGTGAACCTTCTACCACGCTTGCGTCTACGACGTCTCCTGGATTCGCTGTCGAGTTATCTGTAGTAAACTGGCTGATATTTTCACTTTCCTGGCTGTCCATGTTGACCAATTGCTGCAAAAGCAAGGAAAATAAACTTTTCATAAGCCTTTTAACCTTACCCAAGAGGCCGAGAAGCTTTCAGTACTGTTTCGGCCTTCTGGGCCTCATCAGTGCAGTGCTGATGCTAGGATGGAGGTAAGACCATATAGCCACCCCAAGTGATCTCACATATGTGGGATCATCTAAGCCATGCCAGAGTGCTCAAACTAGAAAAACTAGTGAGCATGCATAATGCTAGCAGCAATGACTCATCCTAGTAGAGTGCTCAATTTGGACATGAAAGCAAAGCTTTGTATGCCAAAGAGCTATATCGAGGTTCCAGCATGGGAGGGAGGTCTTCTTCCTCATCTACTACAAGTGCCTTCACCAGCAAGTTTGATAAAGATTTGACTTAGCTAACAGAGCAATCAATAACATATGGGTTCATTCTTTGTAACTCTAGGGCTAGGAAGATGGGTTTCTAATTATAGCCAGGATGATGTGCATGCATGGTGTTAATAATGATCATACTGACTTGAACTTTACTTTAGTTTTGTTCATTCCACTTTACTTACCTTTTGTACTGTTCTTTGTTTTTTTGACCTTCTTCCCTGGGCTTGTATACAGTGAAAGTAAGATAATGTTAAACCTTGAGCAATGTTTGGATCTGCCATCTTTTTCCCTTTTATGGCAAATAGTAGAAGCTAAGGTATCTGACTATCCTATCTTTGAAACAGTATTGATGTAATAAAACATCTTCAGAAACCTGATGGCCTAACTAAGAGTAAAATGTCCTGACTTTTAATTGACTTCCCAGTAGAATTTAGAATTTCTATGACATGATATGCAATTTGTTGTCACGACCATCTCTGACCTTGAAGAAATATGTCTTTTTGACTCTAGGAACCCTGATTTATCAATGTAATATGTTAAATCGTTTCAGTTAAAAGCAAACAAAATACACTCAAAGCATACTCCTGACCACAAAATGACTAAATTTGAGGTACATTTTGTGATGGAGATCAGTAATTCGAAGTCAAATGATCCTTACTGCATTAAGTTCCTTATAGTAAGTTACGGTAACACCAGGGTTATGCCAACCATTTTTTTTGTGACTTTTGTTTCTCTTTAGTAAAAAAATTCATACATTCTGTTCCTCACCATCAGTTTCTACAATTTATAGAAAAAATAATTGTGTATATATATATATTTATATGCTCTGATGGCGAAGCAAATCAGAAAAGAGGGAAGAGTTGCAAAGTTTCAAGATGAATATCCTAAGATTTCATTTTGGGAACCTTGGGTATGGATTATTCCTTTTAAAATCACAGGCGAAAAAGCTTATATTATAGAGTTTGAACCTAAATCTGATATGAATTCTTTTGAAATTCATGGCAAGGTCAGATATTTCATCACCTCAAATTGACTGAAATTAGTTGTATGTTGAATTCTTGTATGCCACATTGTAAATATCATTGTCGACATGATGTTCTAACATTGATTGCATCTACCCTTCCATCTACCCGTCACTAGACTTCAAGAAAAAATGGACAAACCTGCAAGATTTGGCTGAATTACCCATGATCTACCCCCTCAACTACATTGGAGTTAATGTCTATTTAGTTACTGGAAACTCATTCTAAAGGACATCATAATTTCTATTAGTTCAGCCTATTGTGAGCATGCCGGTTGTCAAGTGAAGTTGATTGTGCTAGTGTTCATAATTTTCCCTCCTCTGACGTCTTGTTCTTCGTAATATTCAGTAGAGTAGTTTGGTGGTTATTGGCATGTCGTCAATACTTATCGCAAGGACAGGCAGAGTTTGTATGCTTGGCATGTAAGGGTCATAACTTTTTGGTGATTGGCCAAGGGGGAACTAAAAAGTCTACTGTTGTCAGGGAAATCATAAGCAGTCTTCAAGCAGCTGGAAAAAAGGTTTCTGTGGTATGTTTCAGTGGTACAGCTGTATAGCATGCACAGTGTACAATCCTGGTGTCACCTCTACTGTGCATTCCTATGATTGATTAAGAATTGCAGATCTGTTATGGGGACAGCTGGTAGAACGATCCATAGCAATAGCGCTATCATTGAACATGTCAAAAAAGGCCAATGTCTTGATTTGGGATGAAGCCAGCTCATCAAGTCAGCGAATGCTTAAATTGGTTAATGTAATACACCATTGTCTAAGTGACGTTCATCATAATCATCCTTTTGGGGAAGGCAAATCATTGGAGTTTCACTAGTTACGCCCAGTTCTGGTTGGTTATGATGAAGGTATGTTCATGTTCCATTTGCTGATCTATCAAAGCGCCATAACGCACTGCTTCATACTGATTACTGTTCTTTGACTAGAAGAACAGATGCTTCTAAAAGATGATGTTGCTCCCCTCAGATGATGCTTGTAAAAGAAAGGTAGCTATGACATAAAATAATACGTTTGTAACGGTTCTATCATTCATATAAATATAAATTTAGGAATTAAAATTAAAGGCCATGTTCACAACTTCAATACAAAACCTGCATTAAGATCCTTGGTAAAAGTATCTGGAACACTTTTTCCACTTGATTTTCAGGAAATTGTCGACAACATAAGAAAAATACACTGTTGTAAGTAGCAAAATGGATGCAGCATTGGGAAGAGTTTGTATGAGGTTGTCCTCAGTGTCCAGACAGTGTTCCCAAATATCAGGTACACATACTCGGTTTATAGAAAATCCTGTCTTTCTCTTATCAGTCTTTTCCTGCTTGAAACTTAAATTTAGCAAGGAAGATGATGTAATGTAAATTTGAAAGTAGCTGGTGCTTGCTTGAATGCCCTAAGGGCATAGGTTTCAGGAAGTATGCAGTGGTGCACTCCTAAAAAGTTTTAACAAATGTGGCTGGAGATAATGTGATGGTTGATAATATGAAATATTTCCTTAAAGAGAGGTCAAGGGCATCTATGTAGTACAGTCTAATCAAGCAATAACTCCTATTCCCCAAATTTAAGATATTCATAAAAAGGTGAGTGGTGTTTCAGAGTTATTCTACTCGTTGTTGTGTACAGTTATTATCTGCATGGTTATCTGAGTATGGATAATTTTTAAACAGAGAAGGATATTTCAAAAAGTATATTTTCGGTATATACAAGCAACAAGTAGGGTCAGTTATTGAGGTTAGTCCAACACTGCTTTTTCTGCTGTTAACTGTTTGTCCAAACTGAATCTAATTTTGAGTTGACTGTTGCTGATTGTATGTCGGATTATTGTTTTGACCATTGCAAGATCTTACTTGACAAAAGTGGTTTTCTACACAATCCTGATTGACAATGGCTGGCCTAATGCATGAGTATGGGAAATAATGCAGTTTTACTTGCACCAGGGCATGGAAGCCAAGGCACATTGACTGTAGATCAAGCCACAATTTACTGGAGATAAAAGATGAATTGTGATCTGTGCTCTTCTCTCTCCAATCCAACATGAAAGAATAAAAACTGTTCAACTTTTTCAGCCTAATGTCACTGATGTTTGTTAGTGGACATTTCAAGTTGAACAAGTTGACTATTTCTGCAGTGTGCTGAAGGAGTTGATGCGCAGAGAGAATGGGGGCTCCGTTGTCAAGCTCTTGGTCTTCCATGGAAGCTATAATGTGATCTCAATTACTCTGCAAAAAAAGAAAAAAGGGATAATTTAATTTCAGCAACTTAACTAACTATACGAGGAAATGAGATATGTGGCTGAAAATAAGTAGCATTTATCACCAGTATTTTGACTGTGGCCTTGTTTCAGGAGATGGGGAGTAAAAAAAAAAAAAAACATTGATCAGTGAATAGTTCACTGGTAGGAAACCAGTGACCTATAAAATACCTTAATAATCCTAACCAGCATCATGAAAAGCATTTTTTTTTTGTCTAGAACATCTGCTCCCAAGTGATTTCTCATCCTTGTAGCAGGATCCAGATCAATGTGGCTTAGTGTAAGCTTTTCTTGTAGTAGAAGGGAAAAATGGGACTGATCCCAATGAAAAGCATCTTTCCACTGCCTCCAGACCACACTTTTGCCTTTGATATTCGAGTACCTTGATTTCTTTGATTTCTTGCTTTCCTCTTGTAATTATGTTATAAAATTCAATAAATGTATTGTTAAGTGTTGGTTTAATGCCATAACATTAGACAGGGAAAAGTACATGTACATTTACAAACTTAAGGTGAATCATAGAGGGAACATCCAATTGGGTAAATTTATGGATTTATGTTAATTATCGGCAAATGGAGAGTAGCATTATACCTTGCAATCCATGATGAACATCATAGGACCTGTGTATAGATTTCTTGTCACAAAGTTGCTGGCTACAGGGTCTTTGTCAAAATGCAAGTTGATAAACTGGTGATTGCAATCAGCACCATCAAGGATACACCATGATATGCTATTTAAAGAAGACTTTGGAGTTAATCAGTGGCATGGTATCTATGTGACTTTTGACTGAGTTATATATTATGCTTCTGTATTCCTTTTTTTTAGGTTGTGAATGCTGTAATGTCACTACATGCGTGATCTTCATTAGGAAATACGCTGTAAATGGTATGAATAGTTATGCCTACTAGACATCTACTGACATCTATTATTGTTATCTTTTTTTGTACTCTACTTGTAATTGTTGATGAAAGTTAAGTAAGCTCTAATAGAATATGGTTTAAGTAGGAAATTTTGATACACTACTGTTTATCAATACAATCCTCTAGTTTGGAACATTTTTTAGAGGAAAAATCTTTGGGTATCCATGTCAAAGGCATACATATTGACAATAGTAAATCTCACCATGTAATTTTTTTTCTCACATCTGTTCAATTACCTGGTGGTAACTAACTTAAGAAAGGGCACATTGTACAAATTGTTAATTACTTGAGTCCTGTTTCTGTCATCTTCTGTACTCCCTTCCAAAACTGTAAATAGATGTCTCTCAGGGAGAAGTGCCCTGAAGGAAATTGGGCTATTGCAAATCGAAATCCGCAACCACTCAGGAAAATGAACTGCAGCACGCGT